TGGAGAGTTGCTTGAATTCGGGTAACTCTTTGAAGTTCTGTTTTATAGCATCCGCTGGGCCATGGTACTCGATTTTAATAAGTGGTGGTTCAGCTTCCTTTTGCGGCTGCGCGGCTACCACTTGGTATTTGTATTGTTCAGCGGGTTGCTGACCAGCCTGGATGTGGCCTTCGCTCTCGTGCTCAGATGTACCGCCGCCATACCCGCCATAGCCGCCGTGTTCACCTGCTTCGACTGCGGCCGCCTCTGAGAGTTTGTTTTCATTTAGCAACGGATCCGGCTTCGAGGGTTTGAAGTGCACTGCTTTTATAGCTACTGCCACAGGCTCCTCTTCTTCGGCGGCGTAGGTGTGGTGTACCTCTACTGGAGCCACATGCTGTTGAGCTGCACCACCACCCTCATGCACCACTATTGGGTGCTCTATCGCGTCACCTTCATGACCAGCGTCCTCATCTTCACCACCCGCCTTTGCCCCATAAGCTTCAGCGGCGTGCTGAGCTACCTTCACTGCATGTGCGACCTGTGCAGCCTGCGCCTCAGCGACTGCGTGGACATTGTGGCCGGCATAGGCCGCCTGCACGGCATGTGCAGCGGCTGCCTGTGCTGCAGCGTGTTCTTCAGCTGCATGCCCGCCTCCACCACCTCCATAACCATGTCCTGCGGGTACGCTCGCTACTGGCGTATATATATATCGTATCTTTTCCACAACTGGTACCGGATGAATCTGCACTTGCAGCTGTTCGCCCTTCTGATGCGGCGGCATGTACTTCATGTATGAGGCGGGCGAGAGTTTACCCGCACCACCGACGCTGTAGGTTGGCGGCAAGGCGAGTTTCGCGCCGTAGAGGGATTTAAGCTGGCGATAGTCAACCATATGCGATGGTATGTATTTCACGTAGGCCTTAGCGCCACCAGGACCACCCCCACTGGCGCCATGATCCTTCATCAGATTTGTTATGATCTTCTGTACTTCCACGGGCAGCGAGCCAATTGATTTTTTCGCCTTGACAACAGGCACTTCCTTGTACACGTACAGCCGCTTGCTTTCGCCAGCATTCAAGTCAGACTCACCCTCGTCAACCTCTTCCTTAACAGGCGACTCTACCGGCGGCGCCGACTTGGTATCCATGCGCGCCTCACGTTTGTTAATAACTGTAATATTATCTTCCCCGTCATTAGCGGGTTTGTTTTTTGTCTGCGCGTGGCTTTGCCTTGCAAATCGCAGCTGCTCCAATGTAGCGGTGTCTGGCTCGCGTGCATCCTCCAACTCGAAGCGTATCATCTGTGGCGTCGAGCGCTTCACGCGTTTACCCTTGCGCTTCATGAAAAATTTACCCGTCTTCGGCCGGTAGTATTTGCTCGGATTGAAGATGGGCACTGGTGCGCGTAGCGGTTGGGTAGCAATCGTCGCGGGGGCATTGCGGTAGACGCGTATTGCTGCTGGCGCTGCAGTGCTAGTGGAAACACTATTAAGTACTTTTTGTAACTCCAGCGTGCGCATGTGTCGTATAAGCGCTTTTGTTTGTTCGTCGGGCTCACGTGCATCGGAGATATCGAAGGGTATTAGCTTTACTTGAAAATCAAATCGCCGTTTATCGGGCACTGCTTTGGTAGTGGCAGCGCGTTTGAGACGTTTGCTGCGCGTAATTTTTACGCGAGTGCCACGTGTGGGTCTTTTCGGTACCACAGTGGTGGCTTTGGACTTGGTTCTACCAGTAATCACCTCGATTGTCGTCGCTTCAGTTGTTGTGGTGGATTTAACTTTGCCGCTTTTAGTAGACATATTCGTACTCGTTGCATTCGTCTCTTTCTCTTCGCGGCTGCGATGTTGCCTTATCAGCTCCTTCACTTCGGCGCTGGGCTCGATTGCGTCGCTAATTTCAAATTTAACCAACTGCGGCTCACTCGGCAATTTAGGTATCTTATGAGCATTTGTCGCTGCCCGTCTTTGACGCTCACGTCCCGCGAGCTCGTGATGCTCATTGTAAGCCATAATATAGCTGTCATGTGTGGGGTTATCAATGACACGCATGGAACGCTGACTACGCGAGGCTATGTAGCGACGCATGTCCTGTGGGAGTAGAGGGAGAGGCGTAAAGACTTTTAACACCTGCAATGTTTTTTGTAATTAAAGTACTCACCTCATAGTTAGCAAAAGCTTCCAAGTCGGGCGTTGTAAGCTCATGCGCGACACAGGACGTTAGCTGTAAGCAGGAAAAGAAGAGAAACAATTATTATGATGAGTTCCGTTATTTACCAGAGATAAATATTTTCAGTTCCCATTCTAAAAATAGCCTTAGGGTTCTTCGCAATGTCAGCATAATATTTTTGTTACTTTTTGTAAAAGCTTAAACAGACGGCAGCGTTTATCTCGGACTTAATCTGGATCAACTGCAGTTAGTTCCCGAGTTGATACGGATCGCTGCCGTTTGTTTATGCTTTAAGCATTTACTGACATCTTGAATAAAAACATAATTCAGCTGACTAAGCTTACTATTCAGCTGAGAAGATATTATATATCGTATTTCTATGATGTTGCGTATAATATTTGACATGTTCCTTTGATGGAAAACACAATTCAACTACTGCTGAATCGAATTCAGCGCATCAAAAGCTGCAATTTTATTACATAGCATTAAACTTATAAATCTCACGTACAATATTTGACATATTTTTGATGGAAAATAAAATTCAGCTAGAGTTTAAAGCAATTCAGCGCATGAAATTTTAAATTTGTATTACATAACATGAAATTTTTAAAATCTCACGTACTGTATTTAACTTATTTTTGGTAGAGAGTACAATTCAGCTGGAGTATAAAGCAATTCAGCGCAGGAAATATTGCAATTTTATAATTTTACTCATACTATTTGGCAAGTTTTTTGGCGGAAATTCAAATTTAGCAATACCTTAATGCAATTCAGCGCATGAAATGTTGAACAAGGCGCTATCTTAGTGATTTGAATATAATAATATTACACAAACTAATTGCATGATGTTAATTCAGCGCCTTTAAATAAGGAATAAGTTAATTACGACGTTAATTTAACGTCTTAAATCGCCGAACACATTAATATTTATCATTAAAATTCCGATCTCCAGTATCGCATATGTAGGACTCTTTTTCATTCAGTTGGCAAATTGTAAAATGCTTGGTATGTTTGTCAGCAGCATAATTAAATTCAAAATTTGAATCAAAAACTTCATTGATCTCTTTATGAGTTTAATTCAACGCGCAAATTTTCAATATTTCATACTTTTAACTGTGTAAATGATATTATTTCAGCAGTTTTCTAAAAACTAAAAGTTTGTTTAACATTTATAATGCTTTGCACTAGCGTACTTCCGTCATGTTGTTTGCCCAAATGGTAATTCAGCCTGAGTAATATTAACATTTTATTGAATAATATATTCATTCAGCACCTTTCCATTACTAAGCGCAATCTCTTGAGGGCTTTAAAAATTGTTTTTTGCTTCTAAAAACATAAAAGTTCAAGTTCCGTCAAATTGAGCGCCTAATAATTTAAATTTTACTAATTAAAGGAAATTTAAAGCTGTCCCAATAAGAGGTGTTCCCTAAGCCTCCTATTCAGCTCTTAAAATTCATATTCAGCTGACTAAATCTCTATTCAGCCCAGAAAATTTTAATTAATCATGAATCGAATTCAATTTGCAATATGTACGTAATAAATTTACGCGAAGAAGTAATAAAATCGAAAATGCATTAAAAATTCGCAATCAAGCCGATTTAGGCGCCACACCATCAATTTGGGCATATTCAGCGCGTCTTTTGCCACCAAGATACTTTCACTTTCATGAGTTCAAACCGCTGCTGTCAATAAGCACAGTATATCAATCAGAAATGTGTAAACACTTAAAGAGCTAGATAATCACACACAAAGATAGGCCATACAGAGAAGCCAATGAACAGCGGGAAGACAGAAAGGAAGCTTGCGGCGGCACTTGAGAACCTACAACCAGGTATTGAGCAAAAAAATTTGAAGCCTTTGCTAGCGTCGGGGCTAAGGCTGCACAAACTTTCAACTGTCATGAATTGCAGCAAAACTGGTTGCGCACACGAAAGCGTCAATGAAGCAGACTGGAAGTGCGAGCCCCTGCTGACAGCAAAAGCGATGTACGAATACTCATATGAATGAATGTGTTTCTGTTTGTAGGCATTTTGATAGCGGGTTTTACGTCATTTTGTTTTAGTTTTTTTTTTATTTTTTTTTTTTGTGGCGGTGGCCGGTGCAGGCCAAATCGAGCTTGACCAGTTGAATGTCATTAACTTGCAGTTAGTCTTTTATTGGCCAATGTAATTGACCATGCGGTGTTATGCAACTGCGACTGTTAATTAAAAAATTCCGCATGTTTTACAAATAGGCGAATAAAATTATTGAAAAGTGATTTTGTATTAAAATTCAATACAAATTGTTTGAAAAATAATATAAATATTTACGATACGGTAGTAGGTAGCACCAACACCGGTTATCGAAATTCCAACATCAATAGTTGTATCTTCGTTGGTCTCGCCAGTGCCAAACCGGCACGGCCACGTCTTTCTTGTTTTAATTTCCTTTTACCGTTGAATCACAGGTAGGAAACTCACCGTCCAATATAACTTCGCGAGATTTCGGAAATTCCAGCGCCACAATTGAAGTAGATGATGGAATTTTCATCTGTAAAACTTATGGTTTGTAGAAGGTCAGCTGCTTTCTCAACTTGGCCACGAGTGCACGTGGGCGAGTCATTCTTACCAATTATATTATATTATCTTTAACTTGAGAAGGTTTTTGAGAGAAAGTGGAAACAATTAATATAAATATGCACCATCTCATTGCAGCGAACGCAAGCTAGATACAGAGAGCAAGTCATCTTTCAGATCATCGACAATGGCTATGCTGGCCATGTCATTTTAGTCAAAATGTACCATTTTGGGTGAATTTTTTCCTGTTTGGTACCCTGGTACAAGGCTTTAAGACGAATAACCACGAGTCCCTGGACAGCTTAACAGGCAACGAATTTAAGGGATAAGCTACGCGTTGGTCTGAAATAAAGACAGGATTGCCTCTAAACTGACTGAGAAATGGTGCTCTGAAAAAGGTCTGTAAATAAACCAACTAAAGTCCACCATCTTCCCTTACATGGAAAGAAGGAAAGCTAACTTGGTTTAACCCACTCCGAGAGTTTTAGGTTATCGTAAGAGGCGAATAGATGAATTTAGGAATAACCCTGAACCCATGCGCACATACCCAACGAAAGCATTGGGAATCATCACAGGTAAACCACCTCTGGCCATACTAATTGAAAATGAGACTTGCAGGAGCATTGGTGCCTCAACAATTTAGTGAGCATAAGAACTTCAGCCTTTCAAAGGCACTTGAAATGCAGAAGGGCTACCACCTGTTTAAAAAATCGAAATAAATTTGAACAAAAGGGAAATAGGTAATTGAAATATGTATTCAGGTTTGAGTATCAAAGACGAAAGAAGGTTAGGAGAGTTTCTAGTTTGAAAATATTTTGATGAGGGTTGCCAACTCTTTTAAAAGTGAAACTAAAATTATTTCGCAACTAAAATTAGTTAGTACAATATGGGTATTAATCGAAATGGTCTTAAAAAGGTTTCGTTTCTAAGCTACATATAGGAGGGTTACCAAATTGAATTTAAATAAAATATAGGTACAGAAGTTATAAGACATATTCAAATGTGGATGCCAAAGGAAAGAGTGCTCAGCAATCTTTATGTAATTTGATCATTTGAAACTTTTTTGAAGTGTGTGAAGAAGGTTACCACCTGACTAATATCAATTGAAATTTTTTAATATGTAAATTATTTATTAATACATAGAAGGGTGTCAAGGTTTTGATCGTTTTGAAAAGGCTTAATTTTTAAACTACGTTTTGTAGGGTTGCCACCTCTTTAAAGAGTCAAATTCCATCACGTAAACTGCGTTCAAAGTGAACAGATGGCTGACTTTTGTTGGCTAATCTTAACTTAAACCAGCCAGCTGGAGTGTTTAAAATAAGTTTAACCCACAGCCGTACACTGAAAAAACCTGGTCCTAAGAAAGTTATAGTTATAAAATATTTCGAAGAGGGTTGCCACCTGTTTAAGAAGTTAAATTCAACTTATTTAAATTTGTTATGTTTTCGGCTGAAATTTCATACAATCAGCGAATCGGATAGTTTAGTATATAAGGAACATACATACATATGTACTCGTACATATAAGAAAAAAAAGTGCGTTGCCAAACAATTAGCGAAGTTTTTGGTCCAGTATCCTTTGGCCTTGGCGTTTTCTTTTAGTTAACTGGCACTATACATGCATATGAAACATGTATGTATTTATACATGTGGCTTTTTCTGTTGCGTTTGCCATTCCCATGACCACCATTGACTTCTAAAACACCTTGCTACGAGTATTGTGCAAATTGAAGTTATTATGGGCATATGCATACTTGTTTAACTTTAGTATTACGACTAGTAATCAAAAATATGTTTCTACACCGCTGCATTGGTGAATTTACGCCTGCAAAGTTTTGGCAACACTTTCTTTGCCAATTTACAGAATTTTTTTTGAATTTCTCTTTGAATTCTCTTTGATATTTTTTTAGATACTTCTGTAGTGAAAAAGTATACTTTTTGTTTGTTTTGCGCGTGCTATTTCTACTTTCCCCAAAATTCTGTAAATTTTTGCAACAATAATTGCTAGGAAAATAAAATTCTGCACCACTGGTAAAAAGGCACCTATGAATGTACTTTAAATAAAATTTACTCATACGGATGTGCTGTGCTTGCCTGCTTCATAATGAACACAGTTACAGTGAGAGAAGCGCAAAACGCGAAAAATAAAAAAGTAAGCTATGTAATTGCGCAAAAAGTAATAAAAATATGCCAAAATTTTTAAATAAAGGAAATGATTTATACAAAGAAAAAGTAAATAAAAAAATGTGGCATACACTATAGCACCAAGTAATGGTGTTTACCCGCTGTTGTTTCCAGACGATGTCAAAAAACTGCAATTGCAACTAATAGTCAATATATTTCCGAATCTGAGGGCACTCTTTACCGCTGTTATGTAGGCAGGCAGTCCGACGAAATTCCGTGTTTCACCGAAAATCAAACGGTTTTTAGACATGCTAGTACGTTTAAGAGAGCTTCCACTCTGTGCGAGTGAATATAAAATCTATAGAAAGCTTTAAGA